GCTACAGCCCCCCCCGTCCTCCTCCCACATAGTACAGTCCCCCTGCCTCCCACCCCTTGCGGCACCATCATAGTACAATCCCCCTGTGCTCCCCTGCATGACCCCCCGTGTGGTACAGTCTCCTTGTCTCCCACCCCTCATAGCCCCTGCGTGGTACAGTCCTGCCCTCCTCTACGCAGGCCCCCACTCAGTACAGTTCCCCTGCCCTCCCCGCAGGGCCCGCAATGTGGTACATTCCCCCTGCCCTCCTGTGATCCCCAGTGTGGTGCTGTCCATGCCGCCCCCCCCCTTCCCTTGGCCCCGTTTGTGCTGTCCCGCGCCCTGCCCCCACCGTGGTCCTCGGGTCTGTGCTGTTCTCATTCCCCCCCTTGTGCCTGCAGCTCCTGGGGGTGGCCCCCTCTTCTCCCTGCTGCCTGGGTACAAGGGGCACCCCAGCTTCCAGTCGCTCATAGCCAAGCTGCGCAGCCAGATCATGTCCATGGCGCGGCCCCAGCTCTCCCACACCATCCTGACCGAGAAGAACTGGTGAGAGGGGCACAGCTGGGGGTGCTGGAGATAGTGGGGCAAAGGATTATGGGCCCCGCTCGCCAGCTGCGCTGTCCGGCGATCAGCGCATGTGCAGATCGCCCAAACCCGGCTCTTCCGGGTTGTAATCTACTCGCCACGGGCATTATTTGTTGAGCCCTGATTATGGGTACAGCTGAGGGATGTACAAAAAGGGGTGGGGTTGGGTTGGGGGCTCTACCCTGGCAGACACCACCAGTCCCAATGCCCCAGGCAGCACTAGGGGGCGCTGTTCCACAGGGAGTGGGGGAGAGGCTGGTCCCAGGCAGCACTAGGGGGTGCTGTTCCACAGGGAGTGGGGGAGAGGCTGGTCCCAGGCAGCACTAGGGGGTGCTGTTCCACAGGGAGTGGGGGAGAGGCTGGTCCCAGGCAGCACTAGGGGGTGCTGTTCCACAGGGAGTGGGGGAGAGGCTGGTCCCAGGCAGCACTAGGGGGTGCTGTTCCACAGGGAGTGGGGGAGAGGCTGGTCCCAGGCAGCACTAGGGGGTGCTGTTCCACAGGGAGTGGGGGAGAGGCTGGTCCCAGGCAGCACTAGGGGGTGCTGTTCCACAGGGAGTGGGGGAGAGGCTGGTCCCAGGCAGCACTAGGGGGTGCTGTTCCACAGGGAGTGGGGGAGAGGCTGGTCCCAGGCAGCACTAGGGGGTGCTGTTCCACAGGGAGTGGGGGAGAGGCTGGTCCCAGGCAGCACTAGGGGGTGCTGTTCCACAGGGAGTGGGGGAGAGGCTGGTCCCAGGCAGCACTAGGGGGTGCTGTTCCACAGGGAGTGGGGGAGAGGCTGGTCCCAGGCAGCACTAGGGGGTGCTGTTCCACAGGGAGTGGGGGAGAGGCTGGTCCCAGGCAGCACTAGGGGGTGCTGTTCCACAGGGAGTGGGGGAGAGGCTGGTCCCAGGCAGCACTAGGGGGTGCTGTTCCACAGGGAGTGGGGGAGAGGCTGGTCCCAGGCAGCACTAGGGGGTGCTGTTCCACAGGGAGTGGGGGAGAGGCTGGTCCCAGGCAGCACTAGGGGGTGCTGTTCCACAGGGAGTGGGGGAGAGGCTGGTCCCAGGCAGCACTAGGGGGTGCTGTTCCACAGGGAGTGGGCGGGGTAGGGGCTGACCCCAGGCAGCACTAGGAGGCGCTGTTCCACAGGGGCGGGGTAGGGGCTGACCCCAGGCAGCACTAGGAGGCGCTGTTCCCCAGGGAGGGGGGAGAGGCTGGTCCCAGGCAGCACTAGGAGGCGCTGTTCCACAGGGAGTGGGGGAGATCTTCCCTGGCTGGCCCTGCTGACCCACAGGCTTTGTCCCCTGGCAGGTTCCACTATGCGGCCCGGATCTGGGATGGTGTGAAGAAATCCTCGGCACTCTCGGAGTACAGCCGCCTGCTGGCCTGAGCAACTGCTGCCTGAGGAGCTGCCATGCTGGGGGGCCAGATGGGGCCCCTGCTCTCTGCCTCCTGGGGCCGAAGGGGCCTGCCGGGCAGCCCGGGAGGAGCTGTTTGGTCACTGGCCTGAGGCAGGAGAGGCCAGGCCAGGCGGCAGACGTCCTTGCCATGCCACCGCTCTGCTCCTCGAGGGCAGCAAGGGCAGAGCCGCCCTGACCACTCCCCCTGGCAGACGGGGAGCTGGGGGGAGCCCACGCTTCCCCCACCTTGGCTGGGGCTGAGAATGGAGCCACAGCCTGCAGGGCAAGATCAGGGAAAGACTGGGGAAGGGGGCACCACTGGGCAGAGTCACAGCCATGGGGCTGGGCCTTTCATCTCATCTCCTCTTCCCATTTCCTTCCTTCCTCCTCCTCCTCCTCCTGTCCCTTCCTCTCCCTCCCTCCCTCCCACCTCCTCCTCTCCCTTCCTTTCATCTTTCCATCCCTCCCACCTTCGCATCTCATCCCCACCAGTCTTAAAGAAGAATCTTTTCCCTCCCCCATTAATTCCCCCTTTTTTGCTCTTCCCAGAGTCTCTGCCACATGTGACTCTCTGATCCCATACTAGGGTCCCTCTACATTGACCGTGGTGTGTCTCTGTGAGGATCCCCTCCTTGTGCCCCCTCCCCTGCTAATAAAGAGGCCTTCAAGCGAGGCACTGTATTTGTGATGTTTTGTTAACACCCGAGATCATCCCCTGGCCCAGGTCCAGCCAGTGGGCCTGTCTGCCAGGTGTCGACCCACGCCACCTCAAGGCAATGGCTCTGTCTGCATGGTAGCAGGTCAAGTGGGGGCTCAGGTTAGGCCAGGGGTGGGCGATACTTTTTTGCAGGGGGCCACTCCAAAATTTTGGATAGTGTCCAAGGACTGCACTTTTCTGTGGAGGGGGTGCAGGATGGAGGCTGGGTGCAGAACAGTGCACAGGGTAAAGGACTGGGGTGCAGGAGAGGTTGTGAGGTCTCAGAGGGTGTTTAGGTGGAGGAGGGGGTTGTGACCTGGGGTAGGGGTAGGGGGTGCAGGGTCTGGGAGGGTGTTGGGGTGCAGAAGAGGATTCTGGCCTGTGGGAGGCGTGTAGGAGGGGGTGCAGGGTCTGGGAGGGTGTTGGGGTGCAGAAGAGGATTCTGGCCTGTGGGAGGCGTGTAGGAGGGGGTGCAGGGTCTGGGAGGGTGTTGGGGTGCAGAAGAGGATTCTGGCCTGTGGGAGGCGTGTAGGAGGGGGTGCAGGGTCTGGGAGGGAGTGGTGACCTGGGGCAGGGGGTGCAGAGGGTTTGCAGGCTCTGGCTGGGAGTCGCTTATCTTAGTGGTTCTTGGCCAACAGCCCTGCAGCACCCCCAAGGCAGGCCGGGCTTCCTGCCTGCGGCGGCCCCAAATGCCTTAGAGCTGCAGGCTGCTCCCTCCAGGTGGCTCTCAGCTCCAGGAGGAGAGAGAGGCATGTGCTGCCCCCATCCCCCAGGCTAATCTCTCAGCTCCTATTGGCTCCCCTCCCGCCAGCATGGAGGGAGGGGTGGGTAGAGCAGAGAGACGCATGGACTGCACTTTAAGCTGCAGCAGCTGCGTGCCTGAGGGTCCCGGCAGGGTGTCCGTGGGCCGGATCCAGTGGCTTGGCGGGCCGGATCCGGCCCCTGGGCCGTATTTTGCCCAGCGCTATGTTAGGCCTTCGTGGAGAGAGGGTTGTGAAGTCTGCTCCGTATTCCATCTCAAAGCTGGGGTAGAAGCCAAGGTCCCGGCTAGACCCCCCCTTCTGGTGCCCACGTGTCCCGAGTTCACGGGAACAGTGCCGCCATGTTTTATATGGGCACCTATTGCCCCTCACTCCCTGTGCCACTTGTTCACATTTGGTGTCTGGTCCCCTGTCCTCCCCCTGAGCAGGGACAGAACCCAGGACCCCTGGCTCCCATCTCCTACTTCTCCATCACACAAGTGCATTGACCATTTGTTCTTTATTCAGCCACTTGTGATCTCGTCCCACCCTTCTCCTGGATGTACCATGCCCAGGTTGTGCCAAAACCAGGCAGATCCTGGACTAGGGCCGTGGTGCTCCCACAATCCTCCACTGCGAGGTGCAAGGTGCCCCTTGCAGGATGCCCAAATAGCACCAGAGTCTGTGGCTTCCCGTTTCCCCTACTCCCACTGAGGATCCGGCTCCGAAATCTCTCCCGCCCTCCTGGGGATTTCTGTCACAGCCACGCTCCTGGGTCCTTCAGACGCCCGTCTCAAAGGCCTTTATGAAGACGAGGTGGGCGTCCCTGGCTAGCTCGTTCAGGAAGCTGTGCAGCATGTAATAGGTGGTTCCGAAGGAGACCGCCCCGGCCGTCATGGACCCAACCACTGGCACCAAGCTGACCAGGTACTCTGCGAACATCAGGGCTCCCCCGCCGGCCTTCGTCAGCATCTTCACCACCAGGTCCTTCGAGAGCTCCTTGGCCAGCGGCGACTGAATCGCCTCCTTGATGTCCTCCACGGGCTTGCCCACCCTCTCGGCCAGCTTGCAGAGCGACTCGTCGTCCAAGCCAAAGTCCTGGCGGTAGTTGGAGAGGGTTTTGACCAGGATGGTCACGTCACAGACCACCGAGAGCCCTGGGATAGGGACAGCAGCAATGCCACAAGAGATGGTGGCCAGCTTCCAGATCTGCTTCTGCCTGGCTTCCTTCTTCCTCTGCAAGATGGCCAGGGACAGGTTGGGCAAAGCCATGAGGAACGCGTGTCTCTTGTGGCTGGGCAGCTCCTTCTCCAGGGTCTCCTCCAGCGCCTGGAAGTCATATTTGCCCAGCTCCCAGCTGGAGAGGAGGAAGACGGTCGGGGAAGCCACCCCTTCGTCCTGCAGCAGCTTGCAGCAGTTGTTCCGGATCTGCTCCAAGATCCTGTGCTCGCTGTAGCTTGCCCGCCGCCGCATTTTGGAAGCAGCCAGGTCGGCATCCACCTTGGAGCGCACGAAGTAGAAGCGCTTGCCCATCTGCTGGATCTCCCGGGCCAGCTGGGCGTGGTTGGCACGGAAGCGCTCGGAGGCGAGAACAATGAAGAAATCGTAGCGGGCGAAGCCCACCTGCTCCAGGTAGGTGCTGGACTGGAACGCCGGGGTGCCGATGCCTGGCAGGTCCCACAGCGTCACGTTGGGGTATGTGGGGTGCGGGTATGGGGTTGGCTCCGTGGTGGTCTCCACCACCCCTGTGGGGGCTGCGCCCTCGTCCTCGTCCTGCATGCTGAGAATGGCGTTGATGAAGGAGGATTTGCCGGAGCCGGACTCCCCGGTCACAGCGATGTCCAGCCGGGTGTTCTCCAAGGACTCCAGGCTCTCCAGGATCTTTGAGGCGGCATCGGCCAAACTGCCCCCTTCCAGAGCCTCCCTGATCTCCGCAATCTCCTCGTCGGTGATTGTTTCAAACTCCTCCAGGATGCTGGCCTGGCACTCATCACTCTGATCCGCCATGGGGCTGGGGAGGATGCAGACATCACAGCGATGTCCAGCCGGGTGTTCTCCAAGGACTCCAGGCTCTCCAGGATCTTTGAGGCGGCATCGGCCAAACTGCCCCCTTCCAGAGCCTCCCTGATCTCCGCAATCTCCTCGTCGGTGATTGTTTCAAACTCCTCCAGGATGCTGGCCTGGCACTCATCACTCTGATCCGCCATGGGGCTGGGGAGGATGCAGACATGGGGGAGGGATGCTGGCCCTGATCCAGCCCCAGGGGCAGCAGGGAGCTGACAGGCTTGGGGGCCAGCGACTGGTTTCCTTCCTACTGGGGCAGGTGAGCAGAAGGCCAGGGCACTGCTGAGTTGTGGTCTTCACCCCCCCCCATCTTCACAAGGACAAGTGCAGAGTCCTGCCCTTGGGACAGGGGAATCCCAGCATTGGTACAGGCTGGGGACCGGCGGGCTAAGCAGCAGTTTTGCAGGAGAGGCCCTGGGGATTCCAGTGGAGAAGCTGGAGATGAGCCAACAGGGCGCCCTTGTAGCCAGGCAGGCTAATGGCGTATTATGGGGCATTGGGAGGGGCACGGCCAGCAGATCTAGGGAAGTGATTGTTCCTCTTTCTTTGGCAGCAGGGAGGCCACAGCTGGAGTGTTGTGTCCTGTTCTGGGCCCCACTACAGAAAGGATGCGGGTGCACTGGAGAGGGTCCAGTGGGGGGGGAGGGGAGCAACACAAATGATTCGGGGGCTGGAGCACATGACCTGCGAGGGGAGGCTGAGGGATTGGGGCTTGTTCAGGCTGCAGAAGAGAAGAGTGAGGGGGGGTTCTTTGGCAGCAGGGAGGCCACAGCTGGAGTGTTGTGTCCTGTTCTGGGCCCCACTACAGAAAGGATGCGGGTGCACTGGAGAGGGTCCAGTGGGGGGGGAGGGGAGCAACACAAATGATTCGGGGGCTGGAGCACATGACCTGCGAGGGGAGGCTGAGGGATTGGGGCTTGTTCAGGCTGCAGAAGAGAGGGGTGAGGGGGGATTTGAGCAGCCTGCAACTCCCTGAAGGGGGGTTTCCAGGAGGCTGGAGAGAGGCTGTTCTCAGGGGGGGCAGAACAAGGAGCAATGGGGGAGTTCTGGGTTGGAGATTAGGACAAATGTTTTCCTCAGGCGGGTGGGAAGCCCTGGGCTGGGTTCCCTGGGGGGGGGGGGGGGGGTCCCCCTCC